CTTTCTTAGTTTTATTCACATTTTCATTTCCAGCAATAAGGTTTTCTCTTTTTAAGTCTTTTGTTAAAGATAATTTCACTTGTAAGTGCTGACCTATGAAGCTACACTTGTACAGTATATATATATATATATATATATTTTAAACTCTATTATAATATGACAAAATAAGTGTAACATAGAAACTGTACTGAATTTATTTCAAAAATACTAAATACTAGTATTGGTAGACTCCACCAAAGGTTGACTTGTCTGCTTTAACACTTATGCTAAACTGAAATTGATATGAAAGGCTGATTTTAACTGACCAATAATAAAATGTGTTTTAAAGCTGGACTTATCTGAACACAAGTTCTTTAAAGAGCAATGTTAATTGATTGGAAAGGATCAGCACAGAGGTGGACTTTTAAATCTTTCCACATCTGTGCATTTCTCCCAGTTGTTTAGATTTACATAATTTGCTATCATTCGAAATTATTTTTATATGTGAAATTATGTAGATGGGGCCTAAACTGGACAAAGCAAATCTTGATCCAATAAAACTTGGGTCGGGCAGCTTAAGGACAAGCTTCTTTTAATTGTTTTCATCAGTGTTAAGGAAATGTGTTTATCACAAATGAAAATATACTTAAAAGCATATTAAGTATTGCAGATTTTGAACCTATTTAATTATAAGTTGTTGTACATGGGAGAGCAAAATATGAGAACAGGGATTTCAAACACACTAAATCAGTCAAAGCCTATTTTGTTTTTAGGAAAATTAACAAAGTATCACTAGGACCAGTTTGTACTTAAATGATCGAAGTATTTCGTAAAATGATTGTTTTTTATGTTAGCTGGTGTATAATTTTAATCACTGGAACTAGAGTTAGACATTTAGTGAAATTTGATCTCAACACAATTGTTAGTCAATAACATTGAACTAACAGATTATTCTTGCATGAGAACTGGATTATCAAAAACATCAGCTTCACTTAGTTGATTACTTTTGTGACGTTATTCGATGTAATTTTGATTCTTGGATATCTTCTGTGATACTGATCAACGTAATTAAGTTAATTACCCAACTTTAATTGGAACATCAGTTAAAGTGGCAAAAGTCCAGTGTTTACTGATCATTGTAGCAGTAAATAATGTTAATATTTAGTGCACCAAAAGTCCACTGATTACTGATCATTGTAACAGTAAATAATGTTAATATTTAGTGCCCCAAAAGTCCACTGATTACTGATCATTGTAGCAGTAAATAATGTTAATATTTAGTGCCCCAAAAGTCCAGTGTTTACTGATCATTGTAGCAGTAAATAATGTTAATATTTAGTGCCCCAAAAGTCCACTGATTACTGATCATTGTAGCAGTAAATAATGTTAATATTTAGTGCCCCAAAAGTCCACTGATTACTGATCATTATAGCAGTAAATAATGTTAATATTTAGTGCCCCAAAAGTCCACTGATTACTGATTGTTGTAGCAGTAACTAATGTGAATATTTAGTGCCCCAAAAGTCCACTGATTAATGATCATTGTAGCAATAACTAATGTGAATACTTAGTACCCCAAAAGTCCACTGATTACTGATCATTGTAGCAGTAAATAATGTTAATATTTAGTGCCCCAATAGTCCACTGATAAATGATCATTGTAGCAGTAACTAATGTGAATACTTATTGCTACAAAATTGCCTAGAATGTGCCAGAGAGCTTGTAGACCAATTTTTTTTCCAGGGGCTATTAGTGCTGTGATCCAGGACTAGCCAAAAGTTTCATTTACTGTTCTTATCCCTGGATGTATCATGTTTATCCTATTTAGTGAACAGGTAGATCATATGCAGGGGCAATAAACTACAATATCACGTTAATCCTATTTAGTGAACAGGTAGACCATGTGCAGGGTTAATAAAGTACGATATCATGTTTATCCTATTTAGTGTACAGGTAGACCATATGCAGGATTAATAAACTAAAATATCATGTTTATACTATTTAGCGTACAGGTAGACCATATGCAGGGATAATAAACTACAATATCACATTTATCCTATTTAGTGAACAGGTAGACCATGTGCAGGGTTAATAAAGTACGATATCATGTTTATCCTATTTAGTGTACAGGTAGACCATATTCAGGGGTTATAAACTACAATATCATGTTTATCCTATTTAGTGTACAGGTAGACCATATTCAGGGGTTATAAACTATGATATCATGTTTATCCTATTTAGTGAACAGGTAGACCATATGTAGAGGCAATAAACTATGATATGTTTATCCTATTTAGTGTGCAGGGATAATAAACTACAATATCATGTTTATCCTATTTAGTGTGCAGGGATAATAAACTACAATATCATGTTTATCCTATTTCGTGTACAGGCATACCATGTGCAAGGTTAATAAACTATGATATGTTTATCCTATTTAGTGTACAGGTAGACCATGTGCAGGGATAATAAAGTACAATATCATGTTTATCCTATTTAGTGTACAGGTAGACCATGTGTAGAGTTAATAAACTACAATATCATGTTTATCCTATTTAGTGAACAGGTAGACCATGTGCAGGAGTAATAAACTATGATATGTTTACCCTATTTAGTGTACAGGTAGACCATATTCAGGGGTTATAAACTACAATATCAGTTTTATAGAGTTCTGGTGTTCTTTTCTTGCGCTAAAGATTTTGGACTTATTCCTCTTTGGAAAGTGCATTTTTAGTGATCCTGATATAGCAGATGAAGATGGATTGCTCATTATGTTTCTGATAATACAATATGGGGTTAACAGATTTCTTGCTCTATAAGTTACCTGTTTTATACTTTGTACTTCAATTCACTACTCTGGTTTGTGGGATTTCAATTTTAAAAAGGTAGGCTAACTAATTATGATGATTTTTTAAACCTATTTTCCTGTTTAGGCCGAGAACATCTACAATGATGAAGAGCCAGAGACCCCAGCATCCGAACTAGAAGCATCCACTTCTTGAATGTGGGGATCTAAGGTTCAAATGAGAGAGTTCTATAGCTGACATATCCAGAGGTTCTTGTAAAATCCAAACAGTATTTTGTTTCGGTTAAAGATGTCAATCCACAAGGCAAGATATCACCAGTAAAACACACTTTCAGCTGTTATTTGTTCTGTTTAAACAGTATATGGAATTCGTGCTGATCTTATGTATTTTATTTGATAACCAAATACATTACCATTTCTCAAATTTTGTTTTTGTGAATGTTTTGATCTGCTGATTTTAAAGATAAATTTTGGCAAGTAGCTTAAATGAAAAATTGTAAAATTAATCATAATTTTTCTCTCTTACAAAAGAAAAAACCTCAAATGTTTAAGGTAGGCTGAAACGTACTTTGTTACATTCTTAAAGTGGTAGCTAAGTGAGTCCTGATTTTTGTACTAGACATATTTGTATACCATGTTTCAGTATTTTTAAACTAATTTTTAGGAATTACACTGATTGTTGCATGTAGCAGGTAAGAAAAAACAAATCTCTTATTGAAAGGAAAAAGACATAAAGTCAATCAGAACATAATATAAGATTAGAGGAGCACTCTCAAAGAAAAACACGTTGTTACTGGATATGAATCAAAGAAAAACACAATGTTACTGGATGTGAATCAAGATGTCAGATTTACAAGGTAAAACTTCTTGATACAGGATTGTTATTACGTTTTTCCCGTATACCTGACAAGGTGTCAGACTCGCAAGATAAAACTTCTTGATACAGGACTGTTGTTACGTGTTTCCATATACCTGACAAGGTGTCAGACTCACAAGATAAAACTTCTTGATACAGGACTGTTATTACGTGTTTCCATATACCTGACAAGGTGTCAGACTCACAAGATAAAACTTCTTGATACAGGACTGTTATTACGTGTTTCCATATACCTGACAAGGTGTCAGATTCACAAGATAACACTTCTTGATACAGGACTGTTATTACGTGTTTCCATATACCTGACAAGGTGTCAGACTCACAAGATAAAACTTCTTGATACAGGATTGTTATGTGTTTCCATATACCTGAAAAGTTTAAAAAGAATAAACAGTGCTCTTAATAATGAACAGATTAAAATAATAAACAGTGCCCTTAATAAGGAACATTTTCTAACAAACTTTAAAACAATAAGCAGTGCCCTTAATAAAAAAAACACTTTGTAACAAACTTTAAAACAATAAACAGTGCCCTTAATAGGGAACAGTTTATAACAAACATTAAAACAATAAACAGTGCCTTTAATAAGGAACATTCTGTAACAAGGTTTAAAACAATAAACAGTGTTCTTAATAAGGAACAGTTTATAACAAAGTTTAAAACAATACAGTGCCTTTAATATGGAACATTCTGTAACAAGGTTTAAAACAATACAATGACCTAAAGGAACCGTTTGTAACAAAATTCACAATAATACACTGCTTTGGAGGAACAGTTGGCAATAATGCACGACTCTGAAGGAATAGTTTTTAAAGTTGACAACAATACACGACTCTGAAGGAATAGTTTTTAAAGTTGACAACAATACACGACTCTGAAGGAATAGTTTTTAAAGTTGACAACACTACACGACTCTGAAGGAATAGTTTTTAAAGTTGACAACAATACACGACTGAAGGAATAGTTTTAATGTTGACAACAATACACGGCTCTGAAGGAAGTATTTAAAGTTGACAACAATACACGGCTCTGAAGGAAGTTTTTAAAGTTGACAACAATACACGACTCTGAAGGAACAGTTTATAAAGTTGTCAACAATACACAGACTCTGAAGGAACAGTTTTTAAAGTTGACAACAATACATGGCTGAAGGAACAGTTTGCCGGGTTCATAACCTGAAGAGTTTCCCATAACTATGTGGATTGTGTTTAGATTCTCTTAAATTGTTACATAAGTTCCAGTAACAATATATTTTTAAGCAAAACCTCAAGTCAAAACGAAAATGACACTAAATTTTGTCTCGGTCCACAAATTTCGAAGTTGATTTTTCACCCCAACTTGTTGAATTTCATAGAGAAACAACTGGAGAGCTGGCTGCACTAACCGTCCTTAATTTTGAAGTGAAAGTCAGCTGGTCGACACTACTCGCCGCCAACTCTTGGGCTACTCTTTACCAACAAATAGTGGGATTGACCGTAAAATAATAACGCCCCATATAGCAGAAAGCGCGAGCATGTTTTGTGACGGAGATCCGATCCTCGAAGATATGAAATATATACTATAGGAAAATGAAATATGTAGTATTTGAATTCGATGACGAGGAACCCACTTTGAGACTAATAATGGTTAGAGACGCCTTAAATGGGATGATGACAAAACGTTGTACATTTACTGTTATGTTAAACTTGTATTAAAGGTTTTCTTCATTACCCATTCAAGCCGTCTCTAACCATTAGTAGTATTTGAATATTATAACATTATGATTACAGAAAAAATAAGTGAAATGAAAAAATTGTCCAGTGAAAAACGTTAAGCATTACTATACTCCTGTAAAGACCTGAACTATCTGTAAATCTTACTTAGTCCAGAATATGACAACCAGAGCCGAGATAAAGTTGCAGTGGAACGGAATGTATCAGAACTAAATGTTCACAGTGTTTGGCGTTACATAGGTACTGTGTATTAATAACAAACTATACCAGTTTACAACAATACACTTCATGATCCTTAAGGAGTATTAATAACAAACTATACCAGTTTACTACAATACACTTCATGATCCTTAAGGAGTATTAATAACAAACTATTCCAGTGTACAACAATACACTTTATGATCCTTAAGGAGTATTAATAACAAACTATACCAGTTTACTACAATACACTTTATGATCCTTAAGGAGTATTAATAACAAACTATACCAGTTTACAACAATACACTTCATGATCCTTAAGGAGTATTAAGAACAAACTATACCAGTTTACTACATTACACGTCATGATCCTTAAGGAGTATTACTAACAAACTATACCAGTTTACAACAATACACGTCATGATCTAAATCTTCCATTAGTATGCGCTATTTAACTTTGTTATTTTCCAGTTTTTTATTTATTTTTTGTTGTGAAGTAGTTGATTTATTGTTATTTACCTATATTTAATGTGATGCAACAGGCTTACACACATATATTCAACGTTTACACAATTTACATCACTCAACCCTCACAGGCAAAAAAATCAAACTTTTTTCGTAGCTTTTTTTTTTTCCCAGAGGAATAAAAAATAACGCGATTTCTATGAATAGCTGTATACAAAGAAATCAAAGGGTGTTCAGTAGTATCTTTATTACATACCTACAACCCCAAAGTACAAAGGACGTCGGGTGAAATTCGACATTAACACCCGTGAAAATTATATACCTAAGTGTTCGTTATATCTGATGGGCTACACACTCGCCTGAAGCGACATCTTTAGTACAGGTAATAATTTTGAAACGTGCAAATCTCTTTTTTTAATATCTCACAAGGAAGCTTTAACTGGTTTTGGTGGGAATTTTACATTCATACCAGTAGATCTGTTATGGCTACTCTGTGTGTATTCGCCTGTAAATTTTCGGTGACCGGCAGTCATACTTATAGAAAAATACATTAGCCGCTTTGAGAAAACATGCAATGTGCTGGGTTTGAAAAGGTTAACTTAGGTAGACATGCAATGTGCAGGGTTTGGAAAGGTTAAAATACGCTTCATTGAGAAAACATGCAATGTGCGGGGTTTGGAAAGGTTAAGATACGCTTCATTGAGAAGACATGCAATGTGCAGGGTTTGGAAAGGTTAAAATACGCTTCATTGAGAAAACATGCAATGTGCAGGGTTTGGAAAGGTAAAGATACGCTTCATTGAGAAGACATGCAATGCGCAGGGTTTGAAAAGGTTAAAACACACTTCATTGAGAAGACATGCAATGTGCAGGGTTTGGAAAGGTTAAAATACGCTTCATTGAGAAAACATGCAATGTGCAGGGTTTGGAAAAGTTAAACACACTGCCTTAGGAAGACATGCAATGTGCAGGGTTTGGAAAGGTTAAAATACGCTTCATTGAGAAAACATGCAATGTGCAGGGTTTGAAAAGGTTAAAATACTGTCATAAACAACGAAATAGGAATGTTTAAAAAGCTGATTTGAGAAAAACAACACAACGTGCAGCGTTGAGAAGACATGTAACGTGCAGCGTTGAGAAGACATGCAACGTGCAGCGTTGAGAAGGTAATTCTCTACACTTAGCATAAAATTATCGTAATCTTATTGTAGTGATTTGTTGAATTAATTTATAGGTTTTCGTATAAGGAAATGGTTTGTGTTTTTCGAACAGCAAAGTCACATCGGGCTATCTGTTGTGGCCACCGAGGAGAATCGAACCCCTGATTTTAGCGTTGTAAATCCGGAGACTTACCGCTGTCCCAGCGGGGGACTAGGAAATGGTAACAAGCAGATGCCGACAGTAAGTTTACGGACTTCCAACGCTGAAATCTGGGGTCCGATTCCCCGGGATATCTCAGATAGCCCATAGTATGGCTTTGAACTAAACAATAACCAGATGTTTAAATCATAGAAGAAGTTTCAAAGTTTTCTTTTTCCTTAATCTGGAGAAATACAATTATTCGTCCGTGAAATCATTTAATTAACAAAAAAAATTCGTTTTTCTTTTCTTTTCATTCTCTCGGTTCAGAACAAGTAAGGTTTTAGGTTTCTGAATCCTTAAAGCAACTGATTATCGTAGAATATCCAAGCTTGGTTTCTAAATAGGTACGGCTATACTTGAAACCTAAAGGTTACCTGGCTATTTAGCCGCAAGGTGTCGTTCAGGCCGAACATTCCAATTGTTTTAAACAGCAATATTATGTAAAATTGATTAATAGTGTTAAATTTAACATTAAAGTATACTTAAGTTTTCTTTTTCTCTGGAGTTTTTGCCTGCCATATTTTTGAAGAATAAAGAACCTTTCGTTTGAGTTAAAGACAAACTATTGATTTACAAACAAACTATTGATTTAAAGACAAACTATTGATTTAAAGACAAACTATTGATTTACAAACAAACTATTGATTTACGAACAAATTATTGATTTAAAGACAAACTATTGATTTACAAACAAACTATTGATTTAAAAACAAACTATTGATTTACAAACAAACTATTGATTTAAAAACAAACTATTGATTTACAAACAAACTATTGATTTAAAGACAAACTATTGATTTAAAAACAAAC